CGGAATGCCGGTAGCGGCACGAGGCGCTTGCCGGGCTTCGCGCCCGGATGATGGTGACCGGTCCGGGCTCGCGCAGATCCCCGCCGCCCTGCAGCTGCCTGGGGTGAATCGCCGCGGGAGGGGAGGTCGCGCCCGCGGGGGGTGTCTCGCGTGAGCGGTGTCTGGCCTTCGGGGCCGCGCGCGCGAGATGCATGTGCCCCCGAAGACGGCTGGGGAGCGGTGTCTGGGGCAGTGTCCTGTGTCTGAGGGGGGCTCACTGGCGAAGGCAGGGCGTAGTGTTCCCTTGTCGTGAGTATCCGCCTAGGGCTGGAGCCTGAGCACAATGCGCAAAAACACCAACACCAGACATTGTGCTAAACTGCACCCTACTGCCATTTGGTCCCTTTTATCTGACATGCTGCAGTGATGTGCATTGGATTTACCTCACTGGCTTGGGAGCTCTTTCTCTAGATTGCCAACTAGCAAGTGAGAGAACTGCCAATGAGCCATTTGAGTAACTCTGACCTGTTATCAATATTTTTTCATCACACCCAGGGGCGCCCTAGACTAGCTGCTAGCAACTGGCATCCTAGGCGAACCAAGCAATCGGCGCCTCCAACCCCAAGGGCAGATATAGACTGAGGTTTTTGGTTCTGTGGCTGGAGCCAAGGGGGCCGGGGATGGAGATCTGTGGCTGGGGAAAAGGGAGAGGGAACAGGGTACCAGTGGGGGGAGAGAGTCCCCTGCAACCACCTCCTCCCCCAGAGGGAAGCTGGCACACGCCTCTCCTGGGACGACCCCCCTCGCTTCTGCGGCACAGGGGAAGCTGTTGCCTGCCTCCCCCAGGGCTGACCCCCCTCCTGTGGTGCGTCTCCTCCCCCGGGGCCGACCTGCTCTGACCTGCTCCTCCCTCGGCATGGGGAACCCCTATGTACTGCTTCCCCCAGGGCCGACCCCCCCCTGCAGCCAGAGAACCCCCGCATGTGCCTCTCCCAGGGCCGACCCCCCACCCCCTCCGCAGCGCAGGGGAGGCCGGCACGTGCCTACCCCGGGGCCAACCCCTCTCCTCCCGTACTGCGGGGAAACCCACGTGCGCCTGTTCCCCCGGGGTTGATCCCCCCTCTCACGGTGCAAGGAACCCCTGCGCATTGCCTCCCCTGGGGCCAACTCCCCACGCTCCTCCTCCGGGACCGACTCACCCCTCCTGCGGTGCAGGGAAGCCGCACTCCTCCTCCAGTGCTGAAGTCAGGCGTTGGGGGAAGGGGAAGTGGCAGGGAATTTGGCGCCCCATTTAACTTGGCGCTCTAGGCAGCTGCCAGGTTTGCCTATAGGCACGGGCTGCCCCGATCACACCAGTCATTTGTTATAACCTCACCTATGCAGAGGATATCATGCACACACAGAGGAGTTGATTTCCCTTTCACACCACTGTAAGACTGGGTCTAAATGTAAAAATTGAATTGATCTGTTTGTCCACATGTGGAAAAGCACACCTCCACTGTAGGACTTACCTGCATTGCTGAAAGAATGCTTCTGTAGATATAGGAGATGACACCATCACTCAGGGAGATGATGTTTCTATATCAATAGAAAATCTTTCAGTCAGTGTACGCTGCATCTGTATTATGGTGTTATGATAGCATAGCTACCACAACACACAAAAAAACAACAAAAGGTCTGGTAGCACTTTATAGACTAACGCAGTTAGACCCCTGTGGGGTCACGACGAATTTACAGAGGGGTTGCAGCTGGATCCGGTTTTTTTCTTGAAAGAATGTGTCTCTCTCCACATGTAAAAAAAACATGAAATACCGGACAGAAGCCCAGCAGGGGCAATTTTACCCTGCCTCATATGGCAGGGGCGGGGAGTGAGGAGCGCTGCAGAGTCTAGTGAAAGGGGGGCAGGAGGGAGCAGTCACCAGGCGCCACGTTGGGGGGGTGCCAGAGCGTGCGCTGCTCTGGCCAACGTGAGCAGCAGAGTCCGACAGCTGGCCACATGATGCTCCCTGAGTCATGCTGTGAGCTGAGGCGGCCGGGCCGGGCTGGGCTGCCAGAGCAGCCACTTTGAAAGTAAGAGTTTCCTCGTGCCTGGCTCTGCAGTGGTGGGGGGGAGATTAGATTGGAGCATGCTCCGGGACTCTGAGGATGCCTCTCAGAGGGAGGGGGGAGTGCACTGGGATGGGGGGGTGCAGG